TTAATTGAGAAGATTAATATTTCACAGGGTAATTATATGCGGCTTAATTTTAATCTTGAGTGAGTTATGAACTACTGTCCTTTGATTTACATGGGTTAGGATGACTCTTGTAGCTGATGTAATATGTTTGAAATTTTTGGGACTTGACCAAATAGAGAGCTAGGAATATAATATCACGAGATGAAATTTACTTCTTTCAATATAAGGAAAGTAGGTGAGTTTTTCTCTTAATTGTTGATTTCGGAACTTGAACAGTGAGGCCCCACCCTCTCAAAAAAGGTGAGAAGCATGTTATGAATTTCATATTGCATTATAAGGATGATTTTCATAAGGACACAACCCTAATTAATATTAATGATGACGAAAGGAAGAAGACTAATGCATGTATATTACTGATAGTAATATAAGGATAGAATTAGGGTTAGGTCATAAAGATGTTTTTAATGACGAGAAATCGTAGGGACCTCGTGCATTTCTGTGTGTACATAAACATTAGGATACTTTCTCTTTTACGATGATGAGTACGGATGTATACACTACGATGATGAGTTAGTATATGTTTTTGCCCATTTATAACCAAGAGTATCTACCTAGATTCAAAGTTAGACCTCTAATGTCGGTATATCTTTTTTAAAAGAATAATCTTAATCGATCTCCAACCTATGGAATTTTCAATCAATGTTTAAATATTTTATACTTCAATGTACACTAAGATTCAATCCTCCATGTTTTCTTGGAAATTTTTAATTAAAATCACATATTTACAAGAACACTTATAACCATTTTTAAAATGAGATTATAATTATATTAATCAAAGGGAAAAAAAAGTTTAAATCTAATATTATATTAAATTATGAATAAATAAATAAAAAAATTAAGTGGGCCAAAAGTAATTTAGAACCCAACCATTTAGGACCAATATCAACCTTGAAATGGACACATGAAAATCAAGAAAATGAACACTTTATCTCTTTTGTCAGATTGGTAGTCAAAAGTGAGCTAAGAGCGAAGATTTATCGAAATAGACAAAGGGATGAATATCAAAAGAGTATGGAATGAGTATCATCGCCAATATGTTCTACACAATAATGTGCTGCTTCATGACAAACAAAATGTCAACAAAAAAACAATTATTGGAGTACACGTGATTGATTTTATGGTTGTACTGTACCCCCATCTCGATCTATCCAAAAAAAAAATTATATATGAATACGACATGACAAAAAATCGTCTTCGAAAATTCAGATGTCTGCAATCACAATATTATCATCAAGTACATCAACTAAAGTTATTTATCAATATTCCGTTAGCGTGTTTTTTAATACATTAAAGATAAAATTTAAAATTTCAATAATTGAGTTCATGGGCATGTACCCCACATTGAGTATCATTATATTGTAACTATATTATTCATTTTGAAGCAAGTTTTTCAATGGATTTATCAACCGCTCGGACAAAGTTAGATTGTTATCGAGGACGATATTGAGATTAAGTGAAGGAGAGTGTCACAATCCATGAAGCGATTGTTTCATATAAAGTCCGAGAGTTCGATGACTAGTTCAAACGGAGGAAAATGTCATACTATATTATAAAGAGAATAGGTTGTAACCCTTACGAATACCGAAAGCGAAAACCCACGAGAGATTCTCTTAGATTTGTAAAGATAACGATAGCTTCGTCATCCTTTCTGATTTTAAATTTAATATTGGAGAAGGGAAAATATTTGTGGATGATATTTCTTTATTTGCTGGCAAAAATCTCAACACATATTTTTAGCAATTCTATATTTAATTTATTTGAAGCTGTTGAAGCATGCAACTAATTGTCTTCTCTGCTTATAATTATTTATTTGAAGTTTAGAAAGAGAAAAAAAAAATCAAACTTGTCCGTTTTTCCTTTTCAAATTTTAAAAACCATCAAGTTTGGAGGTCAAATACATGAAATTGATTAAACCTTCTGTCTAATTGAAATAAGAAAACAAGTCATCTTGTAGCACGTGTAACGTTGGAATGGTTGAATCAGGTAGTTAAGATTTCCGAGCTCTCGTGTGGCAATAGATATTGATTTCAATAAAGAGCCTATGCCATAAATCATGACCTAGGCTCTAGACTCGTCTCTACATACAATAGTAACTTTTTAAGGCCATAACACATGCATAAGATGGACAGTACAGGATTTTGGATGCATATTGCTTGGCAAGGGCACTACTGGATTTGACCAATGTCATCGTGCTACTGAGGTACTAGAGAAAATAGGGTGCTATCAAACTCGGAAGACTATTTATGTTGTCGTGGAGCTTTATTAGGTTCTTAGAGTTTCTAGGGAGTTTAAATATCATTTCACATTTTTAGAACGCTAAGGATTTGCTCCTCAGGGATAATCTAATTTTTGGGAGCTCTAAGGTCTTCACCATTAATCTCTGTTCACGATCCTAAGGGGCTCGGTTGACAACGTGAAACTGCCCAAACTCTAGCACCCTAAACCTGGCTTGGTAGACTGATGTGTGCTTTGTTAGGGAGATAATCTTGTCAATCACCTAAACACATTATTCATAAACTAAATATTCATGCAAGCTCATTGGGAAAATAACATCCATCAATCAACGGGAGAACAAATCACAATATCTCATCCTTCTTTCTACTAAATCAGAAAGCATTAAAATCAACATGCATCTTAATTATCATCCTAAGAGTATTTCGGTAATTTTTTATAACATGCATTGCATTCTCATCAAAATTTTCTCTTATAAAGTTCTAAACATGCATATTCTAACTATTTAAGGCAAAATATGCTCGCATGCTAGCACGCCCTATCGATCCTTATAAGTATTTCTTAAAAAAGGTTTGAGTGGCTTATTACTTGAGTGATGTGTGGCTTCCCGAGCTTGTTCTTCTCCTTGCTAGGAGCTCCAATTTTTTTGAATTTTCTTTAGTAGGTTCTAATTCAAGTTAAATTAAGGTCAGCTCGAAAATCAAGTCACTACACGTTGGGTGTAAAATTTATTAAAAAAATTATAAAAACTACCCATCTATCATCATGGCACCTTAGGTTAGAGTGGCTTCCTCGACTAGGTGCAATTTTTCATGAACAGGAGTAAGATTGTAACGCCCACTCATCCAAAAGTATGGTGATCTCAATTTTTGGGCATGTATGCAATACTCGCTCTCAGTCATCATTTAATCTGATGGTCAGAAATTCTCATTGTCCCTAACTTAGCACACAGTGCAACAGTCAAAAATTCGGCGAGAATTAATAATCTAAAAATACTCATATATAGCATATAACATAATCAACTTATAAGCATAACCCAAGTCATGAAATAAGCGAGTAACTTGTTCAACGGTCTCCATATACTACTTGCTTAGTCTTGTAGTTTACTCTTAGTAGAGTAATATTACCATAATTTCTCTAAATTGGATCGAACATTTCACAATTTTCAAAGTAAGTATAGATTAATCTTGATAGAACAAGTTGACAAGGAGAGGAACAGGAGATAGCTCACCCGCACCCTCACGTGCCCAAACAACCAATCCCACGTGTTTCCGCCCTCATCTAACCCTTCTCTTTGTAATCACCATCTCCATTTCTTTTCTTTTATTTTATTCATCTCCAACCACGTCCTTTCCCTTGTCACCCCATGGCAGCAAGGGGCTGTCGTTTTATAAAATATAATATATATATTTATTTATTTATTTATGTACTTATTTATTATTATTATTATTCATTTGTTTATATACAAAAAAACTTTATGATATTTACTTTTCCGATTTTTACATATACAATAAGTTAGAAAGTCCATCAAGTATGATCAGAAAATTGACACATTATTTGCATTTGTTTAGGCTAAGATGTACCTATATATACAAATGATATAGATATGTTATAGATATAACTAATACAAAGTAAATTGTAGATGTATTATGATGATTATGACATGTTACAATAACGTATGACTTATGATATATGATTTATGATGATGCGTATGAGTTATATGATGACGTTTGATGATGTTTTATGATGATTATGACATGTTACAATAACGTTATATGATGATGACGATGCATGATGATACGATGATGTACATGATGTTATTTTCTTAATACGATGTTATTTTCCATATTAAGTTGAGAAGCATGTTGTGAATTTCATAGTGCATTACGACGATAATTATGCCTAGGACACAACCCTATTACGACGATAATTATGCCTAGGACACAACCCTAGATAACATTAATAATAATGATAAGATGGAAAGTTAATGCATCTAAGTAAGTAATATAAGGATGAAACTAGGGTTGTATCATAAAAATGTTTTAAAGACGAGAAACTATAGGGACCTCATGCATTTCTGTATGTACATAAGCATCAGGATACTTCTCCTTTTATGATGATGAGTACAGACGTGTATGCTACGATGATGATAGTGATCATGCCGAGTATGAAACTCAAGGGTCTGCTGACCTCCCAGACGTCGCTACAGACAACTAGCTCGACTATGATGGGTCCAGGAGTGCGAATCGCCCAGGAGATTCACACTCACATATGCAGGTCGTGTGTATGGAAGTACTGCACATTCAATTTAGTCCAAACTAGAGGCTACCCCTAGGATGTTTTTAATGATAGGTCTCTAGAACATTATTGGATGCGTTTGCATTTTTACGACCTCTATAATGGGGTCACTTACTGAGCATTCCTTGAAATACTCAGGTCTTATGCTTCATTTTTCAGGTAAAAACAAGGCGTCCATGTACGATTGACATTAACGACAATATCGCAATCAGAGACCATGACATGTGTATAGGCTAGCATGCTGGCTTCGCTTTTTGAAACATTTATTGATTTCCAAACTGAAAAGGTAAAAAGAAACACTCATCCACTTACCTTTTATTGTTTGCCCCTTGGATTTCCTTCCTCCAACTCAAACACTTCCCCCACAAACACATATGATCCGAACCAATACAAAATTAACACACCAAACCCCACAACAGCTTACACAAACATCAAAGTGGAAACTTTTCAGTCTCAAATTTATAGTCATAAGTGGTGACACCTCTGAATATCCCATCCTCCAAACGATGGCTCACCTGCCTTCCATCCTTTAGAGTGTCCTTTTGAGTGTACGAAAAGGGCACATCACAGCAAGCCTGAGTTACCACTGCACTGAATTTCACTTTTGACATCGGAGGTATGGTTATGGTTTCAGCTGTCTCTACAAATGACTTCTCCTCCTCCTTCGTTCCCTCACTGCTGCCCTTAGAAACCTCCATTGAAAGCTCAAACTTCAATTTCCCCACCGTTGGAATCTTCGCTGACACCTTCGTGGAAATCCCAAATGTCGACGACACAGATGAACTCCAACTGGTTTCCACCTTCTTCTCGTACCTGAATTTCATAACTACCTTGTCAGCAACCTCCGTGTTGTTAATGGCTACCCCTTTTGACACGGTGAGTATCTTCTTCCCGTAAACCCTCGCATCATTAACACGATACTCCACATCTTCAATGCTTCTAGCAACAACAATCTCCACCACTTCCAAACGTGCAGTGTCTGTAATGGTCACAACGGCAGCATTGAGGCAATTGGTCTTTCCTTCCGTCGTGAGTCTCTTGCAGAAATGGTTGTTGCCTTTGTTGCGAAGTGCCACGATGTTGCTGTCCACTTTGACAGGCCAAAACAGAGCATTGGGGTTGTCCTGTCCTGGGTTTGTCGATTCACACCATATCCAATTCGGGTCTCGAACCCAATACTTACCGGAATTAACATGTTTGATATGAACATACCCATCTTGTTGGGATATGATCTCAAACACGACCGATGAATCCTCCACGTTAGAAGCAGAGAATTTGAGGTATTTTCCAGAGGGTTCGAGATATTCGCCGTTGTTACCCTTGAAAGCTACGTATTTTGGGAGTATGAATATGGAGTCCCAATCCATGGCGGTTAAGAGAACAAGATTGTCGTCAATGGTGGATATGTCTTCAACTCTTGCTGCTAGACAATCGTTGTAGGGTGAAGGGTCTGATTCGGCCAGACATAGAAAGGTATTGAGTTGAACATGTCGGATGTAGTGTTGTTTTTTGTCCGGCAGGAAAATGGGTTCGAACAGAGTGCAGGACCATTTTGATTGGTCTTCTTCTTCTTCGTTGGCAATGGCTGCAATGTAGTTGGAATCCTCTGACAAACGAACCCAGAATTTGTTGTTGTAACAGCATCTTATATGAACCAATCCTGGCTCTGTTTGGGATGCGCGAATTGCAAATTTTGAATATGGGCCGACAATGTTTTTGCCGGAGAATCGGAGAAGCCCGTCGGTGTCTTCGCTTTCACTAATGTAGCGAAGGTATTTGTTGTTACGTGTGGATTTGAGGGAGAAATTCTTGGGGATTGCCTTTGCAATGGCTTCGTCGTCGTCGTCGGAATCCTCGGAATCGTCTCCCACTCCTCTGTTTTCATCGTTCATTAACTTCTTCTCTGCTTCATCTATATCGTTGTCGTCGTAATCTTCCTTAAGTTGGTCGAAACCTTGTTTTGGGTTATTTTCATTCTTGTCAAATACTTCTTCTCCAAAGTCCTCAGTTTTCTCGCCGATGTTTTCGATGGCCTTTCCGGTAGCCTCGACGACAGTGCCTACGCCACCGACGATTGGGGCCTTCTCGGCGACGTCCCCCACGGTTTCGACCAGCTTCCCGGCTCCTTTCATAACTCCCCCGAGAGTGTCCGTCCCAGCTTTCCCTAGTCCTCTCAAAAGATTCATCTTTTTTTGCTTCTTTTTTCCCAATGGTATGGTATGGTGATTATTGGTGCAATTGAACCTCCATGGAAGAGGGTCTTTATAGGGTAATCAGAATGAACAATAATTGTATGGAACAATTCATCACAAGTTAAGGGGATGTTTATAATCACGACTCTCCGTAATGATATGACATTGTCCACTTTGAATATAAACTTAAGTAGCTTTGCTTCGAGTTTCTTAAAATGACTCGTATCAATAGAAATGTATTCTTTACTTATACACTCATGATCATTCCCTAAATTAGCGGCAACTCCATCCAACCATCCTCAACAATAATTAGTGATGGGCAAGTAATAATGCATCAATTATTACTCTCCAAATTCGTCACGTGTAGAAACGTTAACATCTTTCCGGGACCTCTCACCCATTCATAAAATTTAAAAAAAAAATGACAAAACAACGCAGCTGGCTACTTCAATAATTGTAGATTTCATTTTGGCATTTTTTTATTTTTATACATATAATAAAAGTAAGGATTGAAAACTCTTTTTAATATTAAGAAAATTAAGCAAACCAAAAGCTGCTTATAGTATTGCCACGTCGTGAAAAAATCCGATTTTGGGAGTATTCACGTGGGAATGATAGTTTGCGAGAAACAAAATAATAGTTCTCGACTCGAGGAAGATCGAGAGGTATGAATTTTAAGTTTCCATTCTCAACTTTAATCTTGATTCAGGAGAAATTCTAATAAGTTGTTCTATAGAAGATGTTACATGACTTTTGTGAAGGAATCTCGGAGTTAACATGTCAAAAGATATAGTTCTCATCAATTTTAAGAATGGTGAGTTGATTACATTTATTTTTGAGTTCGATCGAGTTACAAAGTAGTAAAATTCAAAGAAAATAGAAATTTTTTATAAAAAAATGAGGAGGAATTTAGAATTTGAAAACGGTAAGAACACACGTTTGAAGGAAAAGAGACATAAATCGAGCGTTAGAGGAGGATACACATCATCCATCAAAGAGAGAAACACGTCTTGTAACGATACAGAATTAAAAATAAAAACGAAAACGTCGGAGGAACCCGAGAATTTCTGTGAGCACCAAAATTCTCGTTCCAACACCTCTTACCACGCTCTCTCGACCCCCACAGATCTCCAAATGACCCATCATCCTTAAAGCCATGCTCTAGAGACCCTGCAACGAAGAAAAACAGAGAAAACGAGGGGAAAAGAGAGAGAGATCCAAAAAAACAAAGCTTCGGCGACGTTATATCCACGAAACCGACGTCTAAACCACCAAGTTTTGCCACGAAAGGGATCACTGAGGAGTGTACACACATAAGGGTGTAAGTTTCCTCACCTTATTCATGTTGTTCGTCGTCATTAAGGAGAACGTTTTTTTAGAAATTAGAACCTTACAGATCTATTGTTTTAGGCGTTTATAATGGCCAAAAACAAAAGTCTAAACGACGTTTCGGGAAGAGAGAGAAAGTTCGACTGAAAAATCATGTGAATCTGGTGGAGAAGACAAAGTCCGTGGAATTCGGGTCGAGTCAAATCCAAACCAATATCCAATGAATGTATAACGCGTAACCCAAAATCCATTCGGCCCACCAATGGAGTTGTATTATTTCATAATGAAAATAGAAAAATGTTAGGACCTCATGCATTATTGTGCGCTCATGCATCAAGGGATACCCTTTATTCTTCACGATAGTTTGGACGCGTACGTTACGAGGCAGGGGAATGATCATTATGTTTATCATAATGTCATTGTGACGGTTGTTATTCCTAATGGGTGTCCGCCGTCAATAGCTAAGAGAAAATGCTCGCCCGACCAGAAAGGGGTACAGGAGGCGTGAAAACCGACTAATGGATCCATATTCGCACGCGTGAATTGTGTAGGAAAATTAAGTACACATCTAAATCGTTCGTTAGGATAGCCACCGTAAGAAAATAGACTGACATGATAGGTCCCATTTCATGAAATTGTGTGTATTTGCATTTAACACCTAAAGTGGATCACTCACGTAGTATTTCTTAAAATACTCAAGTTCCGGGTAAAAGCAAGACATTCTTGTACTACTGACAATTGCATCACACCATGGCACATACATAATGTAGATGCATTTATTTTCCTAGACTAAAATAATATATTTTTAATATAAATGTTTATTTATTTTATTTAATTTTTCATTGTATTGTTTTAAATATGTTTTTGAACACACAAGTCGATGGCAGTGTTTTAAGATGAATTTTATATTTTATAAAGAAGTTTAAATGCTAATTTTTGCATAGAAATGATTTACACTATGATGACGGTAGTGGCTCTAGGTAAGTAGAAATCTAGGGTCGTTACAGGATACTTTCCTATTATGATTAGTACGGACAAGTACACTATGATATTATATACACCATGATATTATGTGCCCTCTTCCCATCCGAATTTTTCCGGCAGCATGAGTGTATGCTACCTGAAGGCTAGGTCCCTGGGGTACATATATGAGCCCGACTGGGGTCTCATGCGAGTGTGTGTGGGATGTGTGTAGAGGAGTATTGCATATCCAATTTGGGCCCAGAGTGGAAAGTGAGACCAAGGTCACAATAATGATAAAATGATAGGTCGCAATCATGATTATATATGATTACATTTTTCTAACCCCAATAGTCACGTTAGTAACTGAATATTTGTTAAAATACTCAAGCCACGTGCTACTCTTATTTTCAAGGCAAAGGTTAGACACGTTACATGGATGATGGGGTTGTTGTGAAGCCCATGAAATCGAAGTTAAAATAATTGCATTTTTGTTTATGGTGTAGCCACTTAGGTTAGGTCAAAATGTTTTCATTAATTTGTTTATGTTTACTGTTCTTTTAAATGAATTCCGTAAACGTTCAAGTCTATGACATCATTTATGAAATGTCTTAAATGAACTTTTTCCATGCATATACTAGCGTCTCTATTTTATTATGAAAAATATGGTCATTACAGTTCGTGCATGCGTGAATCATGCATAGAGTAAGACTCGGACCGTGAAAAAGAAAGGAATAAGACAATGTAAGTTGCATGGAATTTTCCCTTATTAGTAGAATTCACAATGAGTTAAAATCCAAAGTGGAGAATACACAAACTGAAAGTTGTTCAATGTCCAACAAGCCCAATAATTTAGAACAACCCTAGTGTGGATTATCTCGAGCCCACCCAACCATACCCAAGCCCCAATTGGGCCCTGACAAACCCAAAGCATGGACCAATGCCCTAGGTTGTGGTCACCTTCCATGTGTGCTCAATCTCTGTACGATCGGGTTATCTGCTTGTCTCAAAATACTTCTAAGAGTAAAAATTATCTTTATAGACCAATCCTCACGCACATACTTGCTAGAAAAATTTTTGAAAGATCACACGACGAAAGAATGCTCTGCGTATAATTGAAGTCTTAAAAGAAAGGTGTAACTTGTTAGTATAAGTAGCGATTATTAATTGATTTATTTATTTATTTATTTTTTATTAGTAAGTAATGATTTTTGAAATAATAATTTTATTACCAAAAAATAAATTTATAATAATGTTTATAAAAAGAAATATATATTTATAAATATTTTGGAAAATAGAGATATCATTTATTATTATAATTAATAGTTGCATAAATAAAAACGTGGGGTAATTGTGCAAGAAGAAACGTGAAGGACACGCCAACTCAGCCAAACATGTTTGAGGTTAAAAAAGTAAAAAAATAAATAAAAATATTGTAAAATTCATAGGATGATTTGGATATATATTTTAAAGAAGTACGAGTCCACTAGCAATGATTCGAAATCCATCTGCACAAGACATTCGAGAGTTTTGAGTCCTCTCCGGTCTCGCGGTTTTTTCACTCGTTCGGGAGCTGATCATCCAACCTGCCTATTTCCTCACTCCGTAACCTGTCGGTAAAGCTGCTGAGCTCCGGAGATGGGGGAAGAGGCGTGAGTACACCATTCTTCTTCAGCCGTAAACAAGCATTATATGAATGAATTTCGGATTGGGGGCATACGAGGATTACTACAAGGACCACTAGAAATAGCTAAGGAATTGATCAGAGTATATATAACCTTTTTTGTGGGAACCGTCACCCGATTTCACTTCTCTACCAATTCTCCTCGCCCTATTCATGCCCTACAGATTGTTCTACTTCGGATATTATGTTAACAACTACGAGGTTCAACCGTGAAAAGAAGAAGAGTTTAGTAGGGTCCACCAATAGATGTGGCAAGATATGATGATGAGCTTTGTGGCCTTACTCAAAAATCAACAATTAAAGAAGTGAAATTTGGCCCCTTTGGGTGTTTTTTTTTAGTGAATAAAAACAATAGAAAGTCACCCTTTTTGCTTCTTACTCGACACCCCTCGGTTTATGTAGAGCGTTTTATTTAAAAAACCAAAGGTAGCACGTAACATGAGTATTGTAAGAAATACTTGATAAATTAATCTTACGGTTGGAGTCAAGTAATGCAAACATACACATATATGATGGGACATATCTTTTAAAACAACATAACATGATCTTGCACTCTTTTCTGTAGGGGAAGGGTTGGGTGTATGGTACTTCCCCACACACGGTTCGTGCACGCGCACATGAACTCACCAGGCAAGCCACATACGTACCCTCTAGTTCTGGCTTCGTTGAACTAAACGCACTAACATGTCGTCGGACACCATAGAGGGAAAGACCATCATGATATCACGACAAACATAAATATAGAAGGCAACCCTAATCCTCGGCCCAACCATCCAAGCTTTTAATGAAGCAAGGATCTTTGAATCAAATCAAAGAAATTAACACCTCCTCGTACAAAATTTGGATTAACCAAGAAATAAAACTAGAATTAGATTACCTATTACGATCACAAATCTACCAACAAGATTTGGAATCTTATTCTAAATTTAGTCACCCATAATAGAACTTGATTAAGGCCTGATTGAATGGCTCGGACTCAGAAATGACAAAGATGATGCTCGTATTTCTAAGGGGAACGTCTCAACTTCAGACATTCATCACAAATTTAATTCCCCTCTTTGTGGTTGTGATTTAATTTCGATCCTCTCTTTGTGGGTATTTATACCCCACACAAGAAATCAGTGGTCATGATTTAATTCCGATCCCATTATATCTCCATAAAAGATAGAAGTCAATTTAACTATTACAAACTTTATGAAATTAAAAAAATAATAATAAATAAACTTTTATAACAACTCATGAAATTGATGATTGCAACTTCATCAACTATTTCAACAGTGCAAATATTCACTTCTGAAGCTCCAAATGGTTCTTCCTCGATCGAATAAACTTGTAACACATGGAATGATAATTGAACCGAGTCTATCCAATTTTGTAGATGAAGAATGAATGTTTGTTGAATATTCTTGGCTTTAGATCGTGTAATAGGTCCAGTTGGAACATTTAAAACACCGTGATCCTTATCAAATACCAACATGATATCTATAGAAAGTACGCATCCGTACTAACATAACATAATGCGGAAGTATCTCGATGCACATAACATACATAAATGCATGATGTCCTCTATAATTTAAAATGATAACATATAATAGGAATCATTTCGTTCTTCCTTTTCATCCATGTCATAGTACACATACGAGCCATGTATGCATAGTAATTATCATGACTTTCATCTTGCATCATCATATAATCTATAATATGGCTTCACATGGCAAGACATAACATTACATACATAGTATTTCATTTCAACATATCATAACATAATAGAACATTACGTACATACATAACATGACATCATACGTCATCACATAGCATAACATAACATTATGATGCATACATCATACAATTCTTTTGACACCAATAGTAAAGTCACTTATTCGTTCCGGGTGCGTGGGAATGCCTAACTATTTTATTCTATTTTTTTATTACTATGGGTAACCTTTAATGTTAAGCATAAGAAAAATAATTAATTGAGAGGTAACAATTCCTTGTCAAGCGTTTAGGTAACCATACTTTAGTGACACTTAAAAAATGATTCAAATGTTTACAACCTAACCGAGAAAATAAAAATTAAGTATGCAAATGTTTTTAAATAACTCTTTTTCAATATCGAAACTATATAACGTTCTAAAATGTCGAGATTCTATTTTTGAGAAAAAATGTCGGTGAAAATATACATAAAATTTCAAGATCAATAACTATTTTTTTAAAAAAATATAAATATTACAAATTATAAAAGTATTTAAATTATCAAAGATAATGGATAGAAAAAAAAAAATCCTTTGATGTAAATTTAAATTTTATATTTAATGGTACCCTAAACTTTTAATTTTATATCGCGTGATTCATGAAAACAAAAAAATTAAGAGATTTATTAATTCAAGTCTAGACACTTATTAAACTTTAAAAATTAAAAAATATTAAAACACTAATTTCTTTTGTTAATTTTTTTTTAAAAAAATACTTTTTGTATAATTTTTGTATAATTTATTTATTGTACACTCAAAATACTTCTACAAAATGTCAAATTATTACCAACGATTGGTTGTCACTAAAGCTTATTATCCAATAAAAAAAAGATAATGGGAGAATATTTTAGTCATATTATGGAAATTTGTTAAAAGCACAAAAAAAAAAAAAAAAAAAAAAACGTTCTTCTAACATTTGGATTTAAGTGTTTCACTAATTTCTTTTTTTTTTAATCAATTTTTATATCAATCTAATGAAAATTATTTTCGTAAAAAAATAGCATCATGATACATTATATATTATCTACTTGATTATAGTCGAATCGATTAAAGTTAACCATCGACATTTGATGGATCTAAGCTACATTGAAACGGACACTAACGGGGTGTTGAGAGACCAACTTTGCTTTAGAGATGAGACACCAAATTAATGAAAAAAAAAAAAAAAAAAAAAAAAATCCCCATTAGAAATTGAAGGGAAGAACCAGTGGGTGAAGTTAAAATTTGTGAAGAACTTGTATGTTGTATGTGTATGGTGGGTGTCAGACACTGACAGCTTCTCTACTTAATCATGTCTTACTTTTCTGTTTTCTCTGAGATTTTCCATTTCATTTTTCACCATCCCTACATCCCATGTTCTTTGTCTCAATCCCTTAAAAAAAGGGTTTAAATTTCACCAGAAATTCCCAATTTTTTTCCTTTTCTTTTCACATGGTGTTTTTGTTTCTGCCTTTTTGTGTAAACTGCCAAATGGGTTTGTAAGTGTAAGTCGTTTTCTCATCTGGGTTTGTGAGTTTTCCTGTTCTATTCATTCCATTTCTGAGAGGCATTTTTTTGGGTTCTCTGGTTTTTCTTCTAATTTGATATAAGCTTTGTGTTCATCTTATTTGCTGGAGATTTGTTTGTTTCAATTTATTTTTGGTAATGATTTTAATTTCTATCTTAAGGGTATCCATCATTTTCGTTTTGATTTGAGATTTCTAGGGTTTTTAGAGTGATGCCTTCTGAAGGTATCAACAATGGCGAATCTCGTTCCTGGAGTGCTTCTCAAACTGCTACAGCACATGAACACAGATGTGAAGGTTGCTGGAGAACACAGGTCGGCGCTGTTGCAAGTTGTGAGCATAGTGCCGGCATTGGCCGGCGGCGATCTCTCTCCGAATCAAGGTTTTTATCTCAAAGTCTCTGATTCTTCTCATGCCACATATGTGTCACTCCCTGATGAACATGGTGAACTGATTCTTAGTGATAATATTCAATTGGGTCAGTTTATTCATATCGAACGCCTTGAGGCTGCTTCCCCTGTCCCCATTCTTCATGGTGTTCGACCTGTGCCTGGTCGACATCCTTGTGTGGGTACCCCTGAAGATATTGTTGCTACTCATTCTCCTGGGTTTCTTAACAATAATCCTGATCTGAAACCTATGGATAAATTGAAACCAACCCCAAAAGTTGGCATTGGCGTTAGTGGGGAGAAGGAGAAATCTGTGGCTGAGAGGCTCAATGGCAATGCCAAGGAGGATAAAATTGAGAAAAGAGCCTCACTCTTGTGTAGATCCAAGTCTCAGTTGTCGTCGAAATTGACAGTGAATATAGATGTGAAGAAGAAGCCTTTGCGGTCGATGCCTTCATCTCCGACGAGCTGTTATTCGTTACCTTCTTCATTTGAGAAGTTTTCGAACAGCATTAAGCAGCAGGGGAAGGTTAAGCCATTGGCTAATGTAACAACCAAGGTAGGAGCGGTCGAAAAGAACTCGATTCGTTCAGCTAGTCCTGTTGCCAAGAAGATGGGAATGGGACATCAGATCCAACATTTAGTTCAGGGCATTGAGGTTGGAGCCAAGGGTCTGAGGAAGAGTTGGGAAGGGAACAACATGGAGACGAAAAGAAGAGACAATTCGATATTAAGAGCTAGCAAACTTGATGCCAAGCCCGAAGCTCGGGTTACTGTAAGTTTTAGTATACCCAATACGATCGTTGTTTCATATTTGATTTGATGAGCTTAAAAGATCCAGCCAAGTCCATTGACTTAACTTACTTATATTTTTCACAGACTCCTAGAAGAAGTACATTGAGTGACAAGGTAGCAGCAAAGTCATCTAAAGATGATTCTTCAAAGAAGAATGCTGCCAATGGAGCTCTAGATAATGAGGATAGGTCGAATAGGAAAAAATGTTCGAATGGAAAGAAATCATCTTCAAGCGATGCAGTCGGGTTCCCCGGGAACTTGGTGAAGGTTCCTCTTAGTCATAGAAGATTGACTGAAGGGAGTGTTTCATGGGGTTCACTTCCATCATCTCTTGCCAAGCTTGGAAAGGTATGGAATATCTGATGTTTTGATAGCCAAAGATGAGCTCTTTTTAGTGGTAATCAATGAAGTGTTAATGTATGTCTTCTTTTTGACTTGCTTTCTTCCCATTGTTCTTCTGTGTCTGCTACAATAGGAAGTGATGAGGCACAGAGATGCTGCACAAACAGCAGCAATAGAGGCTATGCAAGAAGCATCGGCGGCAGAGAGCTTACTACGATGTTTAAGGTATGAAAGCTTACTCGGTGCTTCACTTGTAGCTGTCTTTGCTTTGTAGTTCTTTTGTGAGATTGCACCTCGGTTGAGGAGGAGAATGAAACACCTTTTATAAGGGTGTGGAAACCTCTCCCTAGCAGACGTGTTTTAAACACGTTGTGAGAAAGCCCGTAAAGGAAAGTCTAAAGAGGACAATATCTGCTTGCATCTTCGGTCAAAAAGCTTTTTAGAGCTAATGAGAGGACAGAAAAGATTTGAAACATTGTTCTGTTGCCTTATGTTGTTTGTTTTGCAGTATATTTTCAGAGTTAAATTCTACTGCGAAGGAGGACAACCCACAGCCTGCGGTAGAACAGTTTCTGACCCTTCATGCTAGCCTAACCAATGCTCACATGGTAGCTGAATCACTTTCAAAAACTACTCCATCTGGTTCGACCAATGAGACCGAAGAAACCGCTTCGGAAGAACCAATGAAGGTCACATTAATGGCAAGAAGACAGGCATCTGCTTGGGTTCAGGCTGCTTTAGCCACCAATCTTTCATCGTTTGCAGTTTACAGCCGTGATCCACCCTCGACTCTAAACCCGACCTTACATCTATCCCAAAACCAAAAGAATACATCTGCAAATCATCCTATAGTGGTTTTAGATAACTCATCTAAGAATAGCTCGTCGAAATCCCAAGGGAAGATCCGCCAGATGATAAGCGCTAAACCCGTTGGATCAGGAAATCCAAGTCGAACAAAGGAAGGAGCAACGACACTCGGTCAGAAGGTGCAGCCTCAACCTCCAGCAGAATGGATAAGAGGAAACGGGGTTGACGAAGCAGTCGAGTTGGGTGAGACGTTACGAGTGCAATCCCAGGACTGGTTCTTGAGATTCATGGAAAGGTTCTTGGATGCAGGTGTGGACACTGCAGCCTTGTCGGATAATGGACAAGTAGCAGGAATATTGACTCAGCTGAAGAGTGTAAACGACTGGTTAGATGGAATAGCTTGTTGTAGCAAGGATGAAGAAGACACAGCTCACATTCAAACCGAGACGATCGACAGGCTGAGGAAGAAGATCTACGAGTATCTTCTGATGCACGTCGAGTCTGCAGCCGCTGCACTGGGCGGGGGATCCCAGCCAGTGCCACAGCAGATCGAGGCAACCGAAACAAAAGCAAGAAGGTGAGTGTTGTTTGAATCATGTACATAGCAGAAGCTAAGTGGCTATTTGTCTTCTCATCTTCTTAATTTATGTGATTTGATTACTGAGAGTATACGGATCTGGGTTTGTTCAGTTCAGGATTATACATACATTCAATTGTACATTCAGTTGTTAAGTGAGAGTGCATATTGTTGATGTTCTTGAATAAGCATATCATTTGTTCCACGGCCTTTGAACTTTTCATTTCGAGCTTTTCCTTAAGATTTTTGAAACGTGTCGGTTAGAGAGAGGTTTCTATACTCTTGTAAAGAATGCTTCATTTCACTCTTCACCAGATGTGAGATTTCACAATGCACCCCTTTCAGGGCTCAACGTCCTTTGGCACTAGTTCCTCATTCCAATTGATGTGGTATCACACAGTCTCCCATTCGAGGCCTAACGTTCTTGCTAACACTTGTTCCTCCCTCCAATCACTGTGGGATCTCACAATCCACCGTCTTTGGCGCCTAGCATTCTTGTTGATACTCGTTACTCTCTCCAATCGATGTAAGATCTCACAATTCATCCCCTTCAGGCCTAACGTCTTCGTTGGCCCTTGTTCCTCTCTCCAATTGATGTATCTCACAATCCACCATTCGGGTCCTAACGTCCTCACTGACACTCGTTTCTACCACCAATCAATGTGGGATCTCACAATCCACCCATTTTGAGGCGCAGCGTTCTTGTTGACACTCGTTACTCTCTCCAATCAATGTAGGAACTCACAATCCATCCCCTTCAAGCCTCAACGTCCTCGTGGGATCTCACAATCCACCCCTTTTGGGGTGCAGCGTCCTTGCTGACACTCGTTAGTCTCTCCAATCGATGTAGGAACTCACAAAACTCATCCCCTTCGGGCCTAGCATCTTCGTTGACACTTGTTTCTCTCTTCAATCAATTTAGAAACCCACAATCTACCCATTCGGGGCCAGCGTCCTAGTTGACATTCGTTCCTCTCTCTAATTGATGTGGGATCTCGGTTCCAAATCATGTATATTAAGATTACTAACATACCCTTCCAATATTTTTAACTAATTAAAAAAATAAGGAATAAAAATTTTAAATTTTTTTTATGATTATTTTATTTGATAGCATTTTTTAATTTAACAATTATTCATTATTAATAAATGTGTCTTTTATAAAGGGAAATAAATAAATAAATAGACAAAATAAGAGAGAGAAAAAATCTTCAAAATTACATTTTAAACCCTTCATTTCATCATTGAACTAAAAGGTTGTAAGCAAAGTAGCCCGTCTAATATGGTAATTTTGTCATCTTGTTTTACAACCAAACCGTTCCCCCAAATTTCATTTCCGAATCCCTATTTCCCTCTGCAAAACCTAACCCTATCTTCAATACAAGAATTCTTTCTCAACCTCAACCTCAACCTCAATCCTCTCTCTCGTCGACACATTTCCTTTGCACTAATTCATTCGCTCTGCAAACTCGGTGACCAAAGCCCAAAGGTGAATTTAGTCTCTGTTTCTTCGTTTTTGATTACAATGCCGCTTCCTCCCAAACTGAGCCGACCACTACTGCACAGGGACTCGGACGTTGCGGAGATGTCTTCCAACAGCTTATGGGTCGGAAACTTGTCCATGGATGTCACCGATGCGGATCTCATGAATTTGTTTGCGCAGTTTGGTGCGCTTGATAGTGTTACTTCCTATTCCTCCAGGAGCTTCGCTTTCATCTACTTCAAGCATATGGAGGATGCCCAAGCGGCTAAGGATGCTCTTCAGGGTTATTTTCTGCGTGGGAGTTCTATCAAGATCGAGTTTGCGAGACCGGTTTGTTTTTGTTCTGATCTCTGTGTTGTGTTGGGTTTTATTGGATTGGCGTATCTGTATAACATGACTGACGTGCCATTATTTACTCGCTTTGTTTTGCAATTTCTTGATTTTGATTTTGCTCTTCATTTGGACCCTTCCCGTTTGATAATGCGACAACCGTCGAGATAGGCGTAATCTTCCTATGATGAAGGTTTTCCCTTTTTTTGATGTTCAATATCGAATATAACAAACCCAACACCGACATTCATGGCATAAATAACGATCAAATACGCATGTTTGAAAGAATCTTAATAATTGGGAGAACATATTAATAATTGGTATAGCTCAGGAGGATCATACGATATAAACCTTTCAACCTGATAGCATTCGGTTACATTAAAACCTTTCAACCTGATAGCATTCGGCTACATTAAAACCTTTCAACCTGATAGCATTTGGCTACATTAAAACTATGCATAATTTAATCATCAAAACGATATAAACCTTGCAATTATATCCAACCTCGGGAAAATCTGAATTTCTTGCTTAAGTTGTGGTACTAAAATTACAAATTCTTCAAAAGTATTATATGATTCCATTGCTATTAAATGTTTAGAAGTAATGAGATTGGGGTGGGTGGGTGTGTTCTCTGGTGGTCTTTGTATATCCTTCCCTCTTAATTAAACATATTATTGGTACTATCTAGAGAAGAAATAGGCTTAATTTTTTATGCTTAGCTTTTTCTTTGGTTTACAATAAGAATTTTCAGAAGGTCAACTCATATGTTATATGGAAGATGGTATCAGTGTAAAGATCAGGAAGTGCTAGAAATCAGTCTAGTAATGTTATATATTGGAGCAAATATTCGAGCTCGTATGTAGTGTTTATTAAGCGTGAAACGGATTGAAGAGCGAGCGCTCAATTGCATCTTGGGGAAAAGAAGATACGATGGCTCCAACGAGGTTAAGCACACAGTGAAACAAATATGAACACATATATACATGGTATTGAAACTAATATGAAGCTTTTGCCTGAGAGATTAAGAAGGAACTTTTTAAGGCAATCAAAAACAAGTTTCTAAGTATAATAGGATTTTCAATAACCAAAGATCCAATAAGTTACAAAAGTAAACTACAAAACGATGTTGCAAACCTACAAGTTAAAACTCATGACCACTAAATAGGTCATTATCTCAATTTTCCTCATCATTAAACTTCTTCCTCTTTAGCATAATTTCTTTTTTTTCTTTTTTTTTTTTTTTGGACAAGATATGTATAGAGAAGCATATTTCCATGTTTCTCCACAAGTATTGGAAGGGGGAGAGAGCTTTGAGAAGGTTAAAGGAAGGATATGAACAAACAGTTTCTTGTTCAACTTTTTCTTCTTTTTATTATGCTATTTGCAGCATTAGTTCATTAATAAACATTGCCCTTAAGCATCATGTAAGAGACCACAAGGATGGGTCAAATTATTCTCTTTATTTAGTTGTTGCCAATTCTACTAGTTGATGGATAATGATGAGAAGAATTTCAAGATTCAAGAAGTACCAAATTTATTAGGTTTAAGGACTTATTAGAATAGTAAGGGTTATGTATCTAATTGTGCTAAAATAGAAATTAGTCTTGGTGTCTTAGCTCTGCTAACTGTCTGCCTAAAAAGACATTTGACATGTTCCTACTTTGAGAGGAGTTCATTTGTGCAAGTGTTTTTAATTCGGAACACTTGAGTAGATAAGCCACTCCTGTTTGGTAATGTTTTCTGGGCATGCTAAGCCTTCAAGCTTGATATTTATGCAAATAGTTTCCTCTTAATATCATTCATTGAACAGCACTTTGACCTTGACCTACTGGCTGAAAATATAAACGAAATCTCCATTGTTTTGATGATCCCAGGATGAGACATTAGTGAAATTCTGGACTCTGTCTCCCTTAACAAAATGAAATAAAATAAAGATTCAAGAATGACACCTACGATTACTCGTGTTTTTCAATTTTGAGAAATTTTAAACCTTGAAGACAAAAATACCATGAGGAAGCACTAAAGAAGACATCTTATATTTCATTAAAAAATAAAAAATAAAAAAATAAGAAGAAGAAGAAGAAGGAAGAACACATTTTAAGGGCTAGGGGTAGAGAGAACCCTTCCCCCAAACAAAAGAACTGACGCCAATTTCTAATAATTTAAGCAAGGCTATCGGTACCACCAAAAATCTTTGTGGTTTGAACTCTTCCAAGAAGCCAAGTGTTATATACTATAGATAAAGGAATCTCCCAAGCTCCTCCTAACTTCAAATAGTCTAAGATTTTGTTCCTTTCATGTTGTTCATATAGTAGATTTAACAGTGCAGCCCTATAGGATATTTGTTTTTTTCCCCCTAAAACAAGTTCCCATCAAAGCCTCGAGCAACATTTTTCCAACCTTTTTGATGAGGCATATTGGGAGACCAAAGTATGAAGTACCTCTTTAATTTATTACTAATGACTATTTTGTTTGGTTTGTGTGTGGTGGCAAATTTTTGATCAATAGATAATACTCCAGTAGGTTGTGTTGAAAACGTCATGTGATGCTTGTTTAGGGACCATGTTGGGAAAAGAGTATGACTGTACCCGTCTCTTTGGGCTAAATTTTTTTCTCAATGCTCTCATCTTTATGATATTGATTAAAAAAGAGTAGTGTTTGCATTTTGGATCGGTGGCATTTCTAGTCTACCCTCTTGGTAAATACCTTCTTTTGATTTTCCCAATAAAGTAGAAAAAGGAAGAATGTTTATGAGAGATTGTAATCTTTATTCTTTTCAATTTTCATATTTCTTTTGGAAAGCCACACTTGTTTTTGCAAAGTTTTCTTGTGTAAAGACTACTCTCATATATGTATGTTATTCTGTACATATGTTGATGGATTATTCATGATTAATAAACTTGCTTTGATTTACAAGTTATATTACATTATAAATTGGGAGTGTGACTATTTCCCTTTGGGATTGCTAAGCCATTGGTGAAGTTTACCATGCTTATACAATCTTTTTCTAATTGTATTTTCCTTGGACTTCTAACCATTGTGACTTTTGCTGCTTGTATCCTTTATATTTACGTATGATTTAACAGCCATATTTAGCCTAGCGATTGTAAGGAAAACTTGTTAACTCAGATCTTTGGTCAGGCTGTGCCAGTCCTTTTTCTAAAACATCAGCATCCTGTGGTTTCCACGTCTTTTGATAAAAATGTAGGATGTATGGTAGTTTCATTAGGTTAGTCAATATGTGAAAACACATTTTTGAATACGCTATTAGACAAAACTTCTTTAGGTCTGTTGGGATGCAATACTGTTTTTATTTTTTAAGAAGTTTTGATGTTGAATAGATGTTGGGTAGTTTCTAATGAATCCTTCTTGTTTGTATACCTTGTCTAAAGGAATACATTTTTTTTTTCAAAATAAGAAAATTGATTATAAACAATTATTTTTATTATTAAGTTCAATTAATCACTCCTCAGGATGGACTGTGTGGTATCTGGCTGTACTTAACTGATGCTGAAATTAATACTGCCAAATTGTTGGTCTAATTGTACTTTGCCCACTGATAACGTTTACCATCAATTTGAGGATGAACCATGTCATCAAGCCTATTGGATATAGGCTTTTCTGAGGATAATTGCTGTATACTATGTCTTATACAAAAAAGAAAAAAAGGAAAAAAGAAAAAAAGAAAAAAGAAAAAAGAAATAAAGAAATAAAAAAAATAATTTTTTTGTGTTGTTAAGGCATGTTAGTTGGGGTTTTTGTGAACCGTTTGAAGATTGTAAATCTTCTTATTAAAATTTTATGAATTTGAACTAAATATTTTGTTTGTGAAACAAAGTTTAAAGTCTTTAGAAAATAGTTCATACACAGCATGTTTGTGTGCGAGAAGTGATCATTACACTCTCCTTTATCGATTATCCAGTTGGAGAAGGAATATATCTGATTCGATGTTGAAAAAAAGCATCAATGTTGCAACAGCTACTATATGCTTCAGGATTGAATTGCCTTGAAATGTACCTATTGGACACATCATATGAGGCTAATGGGCCGGTCTAGTAGTTCCATGAATCACGTATATTCTTGGTGGTTCTATCAATTCAATTTCTCATCTTCAACTTTGTGTTGTATTACCTTTGGTTGCTTAAAATTAATCTGAAAAATTCTTTTATTTATTCTTTAATGTTATGCATTCATGCATGTCATTGAGACGCATCCATGCATTAGGTTTCTAGTGATTAGTTCTAGAAACTGGAATTGACAATTTTTGTTTTCAGGCCAAACCTTGTAGGAATTTGTGGGTGGGTGGTATTAGCCCAGCTGTTTCAAGGGAGCAACTCGAAGAGGAATTTTCCAAATTTGGTAAAATTGATGAATTTAAGTTTTTGCGAGATAGGAATACAGCATTTATTGAGTATGTTCGATTGGAAGATGCATCACAAGCTTTGAGAATTATGAATGGAAAACGCATTGGTGGAGACCAGATTCGAGTTGATTTTCTTCGGTCACAGCCAATGAGAAGAGTAAGCATGTTCAGAATCTCAATGAACATCAATGTGTTCGATTAAATATGTTTACAGCATTTACAACTAGTTAATTACTTTTTGTATTGACCTTACCCTTGGTTTTTTACTAAACCTTTTGAGAATTTTTTTTTTATTCATTTTGAAATTAGTTCATGTGACCTCTTCCTTCTCTCGCTAATGTAATTAATCTGAATATCTTTAGGATCAGTGGCCTGACACCAGAGATGGGCATGGACAGCTTCAGGGTAGAAATGTGGGGATGGGAGATTTCCAATCTGGTTATAAAAGACCACTGGTGAGTCTTATTGACATGTGGCCTTATGTAATCATTGATGTTTTACCATTACGTATAGTTGGTAATACTTTACAAATACAAATATGTGGAAGCTTTTACGTACCTGTGCACATTGTTTGTGATAAAGTAACTACAAATGTACCTGGGTCCTGATGTTATTTTCTAAGTTTTGTTCTTAAGATATGATAAAAGACTAATTCTACATCGGATAATCTTTCTCTCACTTTTAAAAGCTTCTCATGGATCAAGATCATCAATACAATGAAATTGATCTTTGATTGACCATCTTAAGAACCATCACATATGGGATATTCTTCTCACTCCTACAGATGGAAATGAGGTAGCCATTTTGTTAGCCACCCATGCTTGTTGAGCGATCCATTTAGAAGTTTGGTTAGAATCATATCCATCATGGGTCCACCGTTCTCCACCCTCTCTCCCACGTGATGCCTGTGGATTTTCTGATTTTTGCTTCATTTTGTTCTTGTATTCTTCCTCAAAAGGAAAAAAAAAAAAAAAAAAAGGGAAAACGAAAAAGAAAAAAGCTCACTTTATGAATTATAGTTAGTTTATTGTTATCATAGCAATATAACCATTTGATAATCGTTGCAGCATGCTCAATCTTCAGAGTTGCGTAGAGATGGACCTCCCAGTAAGGTTTTGTGGATTGGTTATCCTCCATCTGTTCAAATTGATGAGCAAATGCTCCACAATGCGATGATTTTATTTGGTGAGATAGACAGAATTACAAGTTTCCATTCTAGGCATTTTGCATTTGTAGAATTTAGAAGTGTTGATGAAGCACGGCGTGCGAAGGAGGGTCTACAAGGACGGCTTTTTAATGATCCTCGGATTACTATTATGTTTTCAAACAGTGATCCGGCACCTGTGAAAGAGAACCTTGGCTTTTATCCTGGTGGTAAAGAGACTAGGCCTGATATGTTTTTCAATGAGCATCAAATCCGTCCTCCACAAATGGACTTGTTGGGACATCCTCACCCAATGGTGCAAAATAAGTTTCCTGGACCACTGCCATCTAGTGGCATTCTTGGACAAAATACGGCAGTAAGACCACCGCCCTTTGGTCCTCCACAGGGTATCTCAGGCCCCCCAGAATTTAATGACTTGGTGACATCTCATAGTTTTCAGGATGCAAATTCAAAAAATATGATTGGTTCAAATTGGAGAAGGCAATCTCCTCCGACACCAGGGATACTTTCTTCTCCAGCTACTGGTATTCGTCCACCTCCACCGGTCAGGTCCACTCCAAGTACGTGGGATGCTTTGGATGTAAATCAATTCCATAGGGATTCTAAACGTTCAAGGATAGATGGTCCAACATCCTTAGATGATGCTGCTTTTCCTCCAAGAAAAATGGATAACCGGAGCATGGGTTTTGATCAGCAATATGGGGTTCGTCCAATAAGTGATGGAGGTTCTTCTCTTCCATATGCCAATGCTCCAGCAAAGACTCCTGCTATACCTATAGTTGCAAGGGCTCCAGTTAGTGGTCGTGGCCAGAGCCATGCTGAAAATGATTTTGTATGGCGTGGAATAATTGCCAAGGGAGGAACGCCTGTTTGTCATGCTCGTTGTGTTCCAATAGGCGAAGGAATAGGAAGTGAGCTGTAAGTATCAATTTTCTTCCTGATATTTTTTAAATAAAACTTTCGTATTAATATTAGCTTCTCACTTCCGTTGGATGATTCTCATGCCATGTAGTTGATTAATTCATGCGGTATCTGGGAACAAAATGTTTTGGTGCACACCGCTTGTATAAATATTTTTGAATGCTGTCTATTTAAAGTATCTTTTATCTTTTATCTTTTATTTTATTTTATTTTTATATATAGAGAAACTGTATTTGTACAAAAAAAATGGGGCCTACGTACATGGGATTAATAGAAATTATAAAAGAACTCAAGGACGTAGTTGTACAACCTACAAAAACAAGTCATCTTCAAGTAAGCTCGTGGTCAATTGAAATTATAGAAAAGAGCCCCAATTGTTGATAATAGGAAACAAAGGATAATCACAAAAAAGATTTTATGAGCCAAGTCCTGAAGGAACCTTAAATTCTCCCGTTTCTTTCTAATTATAAATTCCACACAAAAACAGGGAGTCTACCTTGCCAAAGTGTTATATGATCCTTACTGGAAATGGAGATCCATACAAGTTTCCTAAATCATGGAGATTATTCCGATAGCGTGCTTAAACCAAGACCCTATCCTAGAAGCTAAATGGAAACTCCACATTCTTGGGTCCTTTAGAGTTTAAACCAAGAAATCTGAAAATAATTATTAAATGAATTAGCAGATGTTTGCTGCATAGCTTTGTTATGAACGGAACATTGTTATAAAAGCTAGTTTGGATGTGAACTTGAAGATTCCAACTAAAGATCAATTTCTAGTTGGTACAGGTGATGGTGTTTGGAATCTTATATTCTCACTAACCATCTATTTTGATGTTTTTGTCTACTATTTGGCAGTCCTGAAGTAGTCAATTGTTCAGCAAGAACTGGGCTGGATCAGCTCACTAAACATTATGCTGAGGCCACTGGATTCGACATCGTCTTTTTCTTGCCAGATAGCGAGGATGATTTTGCATCCTATACCGAATTCCTGCGTTATCTAGGTGCAAAAGATCGTGCAGGTGTTGCTAAGTTTGATGATGGAACTACAATGTTTTTGGTTCCTCCTTCAGAGTTTTTGAGAAAAGTCTTGAAAGTTTCTGGTCCAGAACGGCTTTATGGTCTTGTTCTCAAATTTCCTCAGGTGTCTATTAGTGAACCTACTCACCAACAATCATATCTGCCCATGCCTACATCTGACTATGGTGAGAGACAGCTGGTTTTGTCTTCACAAACTGAATATGGGTCAGTGCCTTCAAAGCAGGAGCAACTTCCGATGGATTATAATAGGGTTTTGCATGATGAAATTAAGGAGCCCCCAAAAACACTTCTGCCAGCAAGTGAGCCATCAGCAGTTCAGCCCTTGCCTCAAGAATATGTTGCTAATAATAATACGGCTGCAATCTCACAAGCTGGGTTAACATTAACACCCGAGCTTATTGCTACCTTGGTTTCGTTACTGCCTGGTAAGTCACAGTCATCTAGTTTAGAAAGTGCCAAACAACCGGCAGCCTCACCACAACCTCCAGTTACTCCTGTTGTTTCTAATAAAGGGGCTACATCTGAGGGATGGATGGTTGGTCATCAATCTTCTGATCAAACCGGTCAGCCATTTCAGCAAATGGGAAATCATTATAATCCTCAGAGTCACAGCCTTTCTCAATTTCAACCTTATCCACCTCTCCCTCAGACACCTAACCAGCTTGCACCACAGGCCACGGGAACCACTCAAATCCAAGAAGCTGCTGTCAGTCTGCCACAGCAGCAGCAGCAGCAGCAGCAGCAGTTACCTATTCCTTACAGGCCTTTATCTACGTATTCTGCCCCTCCTGAAAATGCACAAGCTTCTGGTCTGCCCTTGGTCAATCCTCAGTATCATCATGATAATTCGCAAATTAGCCAGAGAGGTTATGGGTCGGTCAATGGAGTTGACACATCTGGCTATGGTGCACCAGTTATGCAGCAATCAGCAAATACTGTGACCTTATCTAATCAAGGTCAGGGTTCTATGACACAGTCACAACCTATTACTCAATTAGCATCTGATAGGGTGAATTCCGAGCCTCCTTATCAGATGCAGCATTTGCAATCTGCAAACCTTGGCACTGGCACTGGGAGCAGTGATGCTGAGGCAGGCAAGGACCAGAGATATCGATCTACACTCCAATTTGCTGCCAATTTACTCCTCCAGATTCAGCAGCAGCAGCAGCAGAAGCAAGCAGGCTGGGGTTCAGGAAATCAATAATGAGCTGCCCCTTGCTTAGGTAATCCCTCATACTTTACTTTTATTCTTTGATGGCCTAGCTCTTTTAGTAGATATTTGCATGAGCTCTGATTGGTTTATGATTTTCTATTTAAATGCAAGTTTCTGTTGTTGGCTGAAATAGAGTATGTTTTAATTCGTATGACTTCGGGTTCTTTAGCATCTTTTATTATAGCTGGTATATGATACATGATCCACTGCTTTAACTTTGTGTGTAGGTTGTTTAAAAGTTGTGCTAGTGTTTAGGATTTTAATTAGGTGTTATTGTTGTCATTCTGAAGTTGCTGACTAAAGAGTTTAGAATGACATTGCTGATTGAAGAGTTTCGTGCATGATCTAATTATCTTCATCGAGGTCATTTCTTCCTCCTAGGCATTTGTTTAGGAATTTTGGGGGTATCTAACTTCTCTCATTTTGTGCTTTTCAATATAGACTTAGGTGTGGAACTTTTTATGGAACAAAATAAAACTAGTCAGTAGGTGACGGGAGTGATAAGAAAGCTCTCCAAGTTCTCCTTCTAGATACAAGAAATAGCTAAATCCTGAATTTGGAACAAATTCCAAGATGTACAAGTTCCTACCACCACCTAGGAAATTGACTTATGTAATCATAAAAACTTTTAGATTTTAGTTTCCATGCTTCTGGAAATTTCATTCAGCAAGTAGTAGGGAGATTGATTGATGGTTTGTTCATTGTTGCTCTATGGTTTTTGGAGGTCATTTTTGGATGTGTGTTTCCTTATTTTCTTATACATATTTAAAATTTTAAAATCTAATCTGGATTTCGTGAACTGATTTTAGAAATTAGCAAATAAACCCACAATGTTGTTACTAAAAGTACTTGGGCCCCATTTGATAACCATTTGGTTTTTCAAAATTGAGCTTAAAAATTCTGCCTTCATGTATTGATTTCTTGGGTTTGTTATCTACTTTTGTATTTTTAAAATCCAAGCCAAATTTTGAAAAAAAAGAAAAAAGAAAAAAGTACTTAAAAACATGTCTTTTTTTTTTTTTTTTTTTTTTTTGGAATTTAGCTAATGGTTCAATATTTTCTTAGGAAAGATGAAAACCGAATTTTTAAAAATCAAATGGTTTTCAAACGAGGCTTTAGTTTTGAGTTTATAAACATTACTTCTGTCTAGGAGTTTCTTTGTTTAGTTATCTACATTTTAAAGATGTTTTAAAAATCTATTCCAAGTTTTGAAAGCTAAAAAAATTACTTTTTATTTTTGTTTTTGGAATTTGGCTTAGAATTTAAATCTTTTCTTAGGAAAGATAAAAATCATGTAAAGAGATGTATGACAAAAAAAACTATAATTTAAAAAAAATCTAAGAGTTAAGCAGATGGGCTTAGTTTCTTTAAAAGCAGAGAAATGACATAGAAAGTGGTTAATGAAACGAGCTCTGGTCAACTGGGTTGGTTGAGTTAAATCAGATGTCAACGGATTGAAGCTGGTGGCAATGACATAATCTTTAGATTCAGTGTGATAATTGAAGTTTAGGAACCGGTAGATGGTTAAGTAATTTGATTTCATAGAAGTCCATTCCGTTGTGCATATAATGAATCATAATATCACAACCGCCTCCTCTTATTCTTTGGGATATATGTTATTAATTCTCTCTTGAAGGCATCTTGATTAGTATCATGCATTCATATCTTTATTGGCCATGTCTGACACGCTTAGTTTTACTTATTTGTGGCCTATTAGCTATTTTGCTGTGAAAACTTTTGCCTAGTTTGTTAGCATCTGTAAAACTTTATGTAAGCAGGATTTTGTTTGGAGGGTAGTAAAATGTTTAGTCTTGTACAATACTTTTAATGTGTAGCTGACATTCTTTTCCATTACCTTTATGAACTATGATCCAAAATGCATACAAATGAAACAAAAAAGTATTTAAATACCAATTTTTGAAGGATACATGTTACTTTATATCTTAATCGAGAAGCTCAATATTAGAAGTTATAAAGTTCCAATTTTCGTTCCACCCTTAATACCATTACACGTTGGCCCAATGGTCGTTCAGATGTAAGCTTAGTTTCTTTGCGGTTATGGTACAAACCATAGTGACACCTACGTTTGATTTCGAAATATCTTGAGTTTCTTGATACTAAATATTATAGGTTGAAACGAAGATTGATCGAAGTTCACGAAAATTTTTATCATTATTTTATAAGTCTTGGTGTATATATATATTCATCACTCTTAGATTGAATCAACTCAACCAGGAGCACTATTTTGATCTCTTGTAGAATCTTTAGCTTGACAGCCTTACCTGAGTAAACCAACCTCCATTACTCTATATATCCTAGAAGGCAACAGGACTTCCTTTCACAATGATTTACGTAACATGAATTAAAAAATATCGATGCGAATTTTCAGAATTTCGACTGCTAGTTCGTGAGAGTTCCGTGTAAGCATAAGATCTTCTTTGTTCACAGTTGGCTAGTTTTGACAATGCTATCTCGTTGTTCTGACTTGTTGATTTACATTAAACAAAAAAACAAAAGAGTTGATAAAATTTGTGTTAGCTAGCCTGCAAGTCTTCGTTTGCAATTGTTCCATTGTATTGTGCAGGGGGCAACCGTTTTTCTTTTATGAGGTAAGGTTTTAATGCATCAATTAGCTGTGGTAATTGCGTACGAATTTTATGGAGATATCTTTTGCGCCCATCGTTATTAGCTGTTTCTTTTTCTCCTCTGTTTTTTATGCTGAAAAAAGTGAGATTTTGTGAACATTTTGGAGATCTTGTTTTGCTTCTGAGCAGACTTGGTTCTACCTGGAAGGGAGAAAGAAATAAATCCCTTGAAAACTAGGAAACATGGACTTTCTCTGTTTAGAATAGTGTTCGTTGTATACGGTGCACACTTTGAATGTTTCGAACATTCAAAGTTGAGACGAGTATTAAACCGGGTTAATGTATAGCAAGTGTTGAACTATCTTTCGGGCCTAACTACTCTGCTCTTGAATCTCGAAAAACATAGCATTTAGGAAGTAAATTTTCGATATTATAAAAAGGGTATTGTATCGACCTTTAATTTAGGTAGGCATGTGCCTGTTTGTAGTGATGACACTGTGATTCTTTTACCTAGCAAAGTTGAAATGGTTCAAATGTTTTTTTTTCCCCTAAAATGAAGCGAAAATGCATGTAGGTAAATTGCGAGGGTGAAACAGAAACAAGTTTAGTTATGGAATTCGTTTCAGAAGAAGTCGATGGCTGGACACACGCGCTCGTTCTTGCACACCTTCGATTTCTCCTTTCAAACTAATGTACGTACGTGTCGCATCGTGCCTTTCTCATTTGCCCGTTCATCAACACCTCGTGCGATTGTATTATCAATTTTTGGAATTTAAGTTTTCTACAATCTATGTAGCATAGTTTAGTAGTTTTTACAAACATTACTCTTAAAACTTCCACAATTAATTTTGGTTATTGCTGAAGATGGCCTGAAAACCCACTTTCTAAGTTGTTATTTCATGCTTCGCCTACGCCACCAACCATACCATTAGTGTCTACTTTATTTTTTTTTAATTTTATGGAAATATGAGTTTTTCTTGGTTACCTAGTTTGGAAGTTAAATGATGGGTGTAGTTTGTGAATTTTAGTTATTAAAAATTTAGTCTATTTAGTTCAAAATTGGTAATAATTTAACTCATAAATTTAATGTATAACAATTTAGTTTTTAACTTGACACCAGTCGTTGATTCTTGTTGCTTTAGAACTGAAACGGTTCTAATTGCAGTTTGAGCAGTACTTTTTTTCGAATTAAAATTCTCATGGCCTATACTTTCGATCGACCCATTTCTTCTTTCTTTTGAATATTTTTCTTAATTACGATTTACTTTGAAGGTTTGTCTCCACATTTTGGTGAAGTTATTGGTTTGGAGTATGTTTACTTCTACAAATAACCTAATAGAGTAGTTGACCTAATTCTAGTAGTTACACAATACGAAGGTGACATGAGGGAGCAACCCTCATGCTTGTTGACTCGAGCACGATCAACAAGTTAGTTGATAACTTCTTAATCGCACCCACATAGTGATCGTAGGGCACTATTAAGCGCATCCACATCCTACTAAGTGTGTACGTGCCATAGTAGTTCTCACCACTAGTAGTGAATCTATTATAGAAGATTGTCTAACAATCCTGACGTACAAACATATGACATACAAGAAACATAATATAATACAAGTCTTCCTTATATCATATGATTTACTTAATTGCATGCTATAGCATGAATCATATGAACTATACTAACACCAATATGTTAAACATAAAACTAGCACTTTACTATAGTTGATACACTTAACTAGTCCAACCAAGTTATTTAAGTTCAACTTCTAACATGGTTAAGCCATGGGAGAATAATAAAACATGACATTCATGTATTACAAATAAGAATAGACTAAACCAAACCGCTATTTATACGTATCGTTATTATGTTTTTACACAAAAAAAAAAAAAAAAAAAAAAA